CTTCACCATTTTGGTCAGCCACCTCTGGACATGTTCCAGCTTCTCAACATCCTTTTTTATTGTGGGGCCCAGAACTGAACACAGTATTCCAGGTGAGGCCTGACCAAAACAGAATGGAGTGGCACTATTACTTCCCTTGATCTAGACACTTTCACTGCTGTTGATGCAGCCTAGAATTCCCTCCCCAACATGACTCAGTTTATAGCCCTTCTGATCAAATGTTTGAGACTATTGGCAAAAATGTTTCTGCCAACTGGTGTGAGATGCAGCCCATCTCTTGCTAGATGTCCACCCTTTTGGAACCGCAGCCCATGATCCAAGAATCCAAATCGTTCTTGCCGGCACCATCTACGGAGCCAGTTATTCACGTCTGCTATCTCCTTTCCTGGACCATGCCCCTCAACTGGGCACTTTTAGCTGCCGCATCACACTGTTGACTCATGTTAAACTTGTGGTCTATCAGGACTCCTAGATCCCTTTCACATGTAGTCTTTGGCAGAGAAGGGTAAAGACCTTGCAAAACTACAAATCCCATTTCCATTCTTCCTCCTGGAAAAATCCACTCAAATTCCTGTGAAACTGCCCCAAGACACATTTCATCCTGTAAATTACAATATCGACCCTTATCCATGGTTTTGCTTTCCTCAATTTCAGTTACTTATGGTCAGACATATTATGTAGAGTAGACCTTCCTTATCTGCGATTTCGCTCTCCAGGGTTTTAGTTACCCACAGTCAATCATAGTCCAAAAACACTACCAGTATAGAGTTTGGCACTATCTGCAATATCAAACATCCACTGTGGTCTTGGAATGTATGAAAGTGGGTCTTAACAATAACTCAGCTTCAAATAATTTGTCATGTCAATTACATCAGTGAAAGTATTCATTTTTAAAGGCTCTTAAATTCTTGCTAAACATATTTTCATTACAAGCCGCCCTGATTGTTCAACTGAGGGGCGGGGTATAAATAAATGTTATTATTAATATTATTATAAGTGGAAATATTATTATAAGTGGAGTTTTTTCTTTTCCAATTTGAGAATAGCAATATCATCCTGTAAATGCCAAACTTCTGGTTCTGAATATACATTGGGTCTACTGTGTCATTGTGTTTTAATGCCACCTTACTACTGTAGAACTACATATTCCATCTATACGCCAACTGGTAGCTTTTATGGGGTTGGTTCAAGGGCTTGACCTGTGTTTGGTTTTCTAAAGTCATTAAGAGCATCAATCACTATTATGTACTTCTCTGAAGTCTTTTCTTTTATAATAATAATAATAATAATAATAAATTTTATTTATAACCCGCCCCTCTGCACAGCAATCAGGGCGGCTTACAACAGATTAAAAATAAAGCAATTAAAACATTCCATCTCCCCACATCCTCCACCAGCTTCCCACACCCCTTAAAACTGAATTAAACTTGAGAAAATTAAAATATAACAAGTATAACAGTTATAAAAATCAATAAATAACAAGAGCAGCAATAATACCATATTCGGCAGAGAGATTGGGGGCAGAATAAAATCCAAATATACTCATCCCTCTGAGGGCGTTATTCCAGGAAGGCCTGCCGGAAGAGATCCGTCTGTACTGCTTTCTTGAAAGCAGCAAGTATCGTAATAAGACGGATCTCGTC